GAACCTACGATGTCAGTGTACGTCTGGTGGAGTGGCTGGAGATGGTCAAACTGATGGGCGCCGATCAGGTGTACTTCTACGTCTTTGGGGCCACTGACGGCATGATGAAGGTGCTCAGACACTATGAAGCACAGGTAGTGTTCAGGATTTGCTGCAGTTTGAGAAGAAGCTAATCCACTAATTATACTGTTGCAGATGTTTGTCGACTGGCGAACGCTTACATTGCCGGGAGAATATCAGCCCAACGTTAGAAGTCTCTACAATTTTTATTATCAAAAGTAAGNAACGTTAGAAGTCTCTACAACTTTTATTATCAAAAGTATGTCTTTTTAATCTCACAGTTTGATAGTAGTATTTAGCATTTTTTCATCAAGAATCAAAGCCAAGTTTTGGCCTGAAGAGCTGATTGAGTTGAATGACTGCCTGTACCGGAACATCCACCGACACGACTACTTGGCCGTCATTGACATTGATGAGGTGCCGCTGCCCCAAAAGGCTGACAACTGGCATGAGTTACTTCAATCGGCTACTGTGAGTGCCACTGGCATCATCTACTGAATTTGTGCTCTCTTTTTAAACCTAACTTTTCAACAGGACCAACTTTCTGAACAGAAGCAACAAAGAGCAGCATACTTTGAGAATCGCCATGCGTAAGTGTGAAATCAGCATTGTCAGACAATTTTACCTTTTTTTTTCTTTTACTAGATATGTTTACGAGATGTTCGAAGATACTGAAATGCCAAAGCCAAATGAGCAAGTGCCAATACCCGATTATCTGTACATGTTTCGTCATGTGAACCGAGTACCCGTTTTCAGTCCAGGCCTGAACATCAAGTGCTTTCACCGAACTGACCAGGTTTTTGCCGTGCACAATCACTTTCCAATGCGGTGCATCAACACCACCGGTCACCACAGCTGCACTGGCATGACTTTTGACCCGAGTGAGTCCATTCTGATGCACTATCGAAGGTAAATGCTGAATGCTGCCAAGTGCCATTCAATGTAAAAAACTTGGGTTTTTTCAGAAATGTGCCACCACCAACGAACTGCTCCACTCCAGATAACCTCAAGGAATGCACCGTTAGGGACACAAATGTTTGGCGGTTCTTTGATCAAGTGGCTGCCAAAGTGGAGAGTCAGCTGCTTTCTATATTTGTTTCCTAAACGGTTTTTTGTTAAAGTTATGTAATCTCAGATTACTAATCTGTTTGCGTAATTGTTGCATTTTTCAATAATCTTTTGTTAAATGCTTTTTGAACTTTTTATTTGGTATTTCAGCTGCAGCAAAAAAAAGAGTTATGAGTGTTCGTTTGTAAACTTTTCAGCCTCTCTAACTGTTTGCCTTTTTAGACTTTTTATCTTTTTATCATCGCGATGAGTAAGCTTTCTGATCACGATAATCCAGCCAATGATTTAACTTGGGGGAAGCCTACTTTACTGTCAAATCAGATTGCTGACATTAA